ATGTCTATTGATGTTCTAGTGGGTACGGGGAACAATGGTTAGGGAAACAGGGATCTGCTAATGATGTTCTACAGGGTTGTCAAAGTCAGGAAAAATAAAAATGAAAATGTTTGTTCAGGGTGCAAAGGCTGGTGTGTCCGAAGGAGTCGGAAGCAGAATCTCATGTAGGAACAAAGTGTCCAAGTGTCTTGAAAGGGGGTCKGCAGCGGTCTTGATCAGGTCTTTGGAGTAGGTGGTAGAAGCGGTCTTCAGCAGCTGTGATAGATAGAAGTCCAAGAAGCGTAGTCGTAGTGTCAAAGTCCAAGTGCTAGGGTGCGTCCGGTACACGAACTGCRATGAGGTCTGATCTGGAAGCAAGGAAGTCGCAGACTGATGCAAAGATCCATGTCACAAGTTGCTGCTCCCGTAAGTCCGCGAGTCGGGATGCCGGCCAATGAAACAGCATGGTGGCCAAACCAGCTGCATAATCTCCATGAACAGTGAGGCAGCAGGCCATCGTCCTCGTGCGCTTGCCACTAGATCCTTTATCGCCGGCATCACGCAAGTTCACAAGCATTGGACAAGAGAGACAAGGTAGTGAAGAGGACAGATGGGACAAGGCTAGGCGAGGGCAAGGGCAGATCAGACATCAGGTATGAGGGTCAAGGGAAGGGTGGACTGGGTTCAAGGGTGTGTGTAGAGCAGGGTTGCAAGGGTTTTTAGCGGGGGTTTATGCCATAGTGATATAGGTATCTASGACGTAGGATTAGCACGATCATAGGCGCGGACAAGTTTCATGGTGTTCTTAAGATTAGAGAGAGGTTCCCATGTGGATTCTTCGTCGGGGTATCCGGTCCATTTGACTTTGTATTCAGTGATTGGTTCCGGATGATCAGATACCTGAGTGGTTCGTCGGCCGATGATGGTTTCGACAATGAATTCAGGGCCTGTGGGTAGCATGATTGGTGGAGGTCTAGGATATGGACGGTCGGCGAACTGGAGCGGAGATTCATGGTATTCTTTTAGGTACTCGACATGGAAGACTGGGTGAACACGACTCATGTCAGGGGGAAGTTGGAGTTTGTAGTTGACGGGGGAGGTTTGTTCAATGATGGGGAAGGGACCGAGCCACTTGTTCGAGAGTTTCTTGGACAAGCCTTGTTCGGGTTCAAAGCGTTTGGCAGAAAGCCAGACTTTGTCCCCTACTTTGAATGACACGTCCCGTCTGTGCACAGTGAAAAGGGCTCCTAGCCTCCAACACATCAAGTACATTGGGGTTCTCTCTCTCAAGGGCAAGATCTCTTTGGTTCTTCTTTTTTGAGGAGTGCATGGGACCAGGGGGACTCCTGCAGCCCAGACCACATAGCATCACCCACGTACCCTGCATTCTACAGCCCAGGCCAGATTGTACCATCCAGTGCGCATAGTATAGTCCACCCCACATAGTACCCCGCAGCCATACCAGCCAGTCCACATGGTACCACTCAACCCGCACAGTATCACCCACACCACCCACCCCATATAGTACCATGTAGTGGCATGAATTGTGAGAGAAAAGAAAGACAGATAGAGGGTTGCCACATAATGCATCTAAGCCAAAAACAACGGCAGAGACACTATCTTCATGATATTGTTGTGTCCCGGGATGTGAGCACTCCCTCTGCCCCCACCGCCAAGTGCTCCACCTCTCTCCCCATATGTCATCTCCCACATCGTCTGTTCCAATCTGGTGCACCCGCTGCGGCCCTGCCTGCAGCGCACCGTTTGGCTTGTTTAATTGTTGAAAAGAGAGAGAGAGAGAGAGAGAGAGAGAGAGAGAGAGAGAGAGAAGCCTGAATATGGGTGCACAGCTTGACACGAACAAATAGAAACAAAAGGAAAGAAAAAGAAACATACCTGAGAGAACTCAGGTTGGCGTAAATGCCCGACAAGGCCCTTTCCTGTTCCCAGCCGGTCCTCCTTTTCCCTGCCTCTCATTTCTCCTACTCCTGCTCCCGTCCCTCCGCGCAAGCCGTCCATGGAGTCGACATCCGAGAGTAGTATGCTGCCTCCACCCGAAAAAGAATTCAATTGATTAATTTAGTTTTCATTTTTAAGTACACAGAGTTCAGGAAATGCTGCTGCTAAGTGTCAGTTCTTCAACCAGCTTTCCATGCCACTCCGGCTATTATCACATTGGGAATTCCTGCACTGAATATGTCAATAAACGAGGTAAATTCCAGTCCAAGTACAAAAAATCTCAACGTCAAATTCATATTTTTATTATTTTCTTTGGTGTAAATTTGACTTTCTTTCCTATGCATTTCTTAGGTCTTGAGAGCATGCCACGCCGCATTCCAGATTATCCAGATGCTTAAACCACCAGTACATGCCATACATCGGCCGCGCATCCCTGCCGACCGCCGACTCCGACCGCCGACCGTATTGCAGCCGACCAGTTGGGCCGACCGGTCGGCGGTCTGCCGAAGAGTGTAAAAATAAATAAAATAAATAAATAAACATCCACTGATTTTTTTTCAAATCTGAGTTGGGGGCTGTACCGTGCTTGCTGAGTACAGCCCAAATCCGCTGAGAAACTCTTCGGGATGGGGGGGGATATGGGGGGGATGGGGGGGGAGTATAGGGGGGCATACGGGTGGTATAGGGGGTATTGGGGGGCCCCGGGGGGTAATGAGGGTGTTGGGTCTGGTTTGGGGGCGGTTTGGGAGGGTGTATGGGGGTATTGGGGGACGCTATGGGGGTGTTGGATGTGTTATTGGGGGTTCTGGACCCCAAAAAAAAATTATTTCTTTATTTTTTATTTTTTTTTTATTTTCTTTTGCGGGGTGCCGACGACCCCTGACCAGTAGGTGCCGACCAGCCGATCGGTCGGCGGGTTGGCAGCTGACCAGTCAAGGGCCGCCGACCGTCGGGGGGTGCAACAATGTACTTGATAGTAAAATAGCAGTACTCAATAGTAAAAAAGAGCAACACACATACATGTGCCTTCTGAATTCAGCTGATAGAGTTTCCTTTGCTTGCAGGTTTGACCTCGCAACTGCTGCACAGCACACAGGGTGATTCATGCCCAGTTGGGCAATGTATATGGAGCCAAGGATCCGCAAAGTGATGAAAAGGACTCGGATGGACAATGCAATGTCAGCAAACCATCAACAAGTAATGTACATCCAGATACATACAAAAATAGCACAATGTAGCGCAGCCGAAGACTCAAAGATATGACCTGACCTGTCGGATATGCGACATCCCACCATACAACACATGTGAGAGAGAGAGAGGGACCGCATACACAGAAGAAAGGTCCCTCCTTGAACACGCACATGGGGGAGATACCACGGATGAGAGGTGGGGGGAGAGGCAAGACGAAGATGGAGGCGAGGCAAAAGACCAAGATCGGGATAGCGAAGTCCAAAAATAGTCCCCTGCCGAATGTCCAACCAATGTCTGCCACAAAAATGTCGGATCAGATCCTGGGCACAATACCCGATGTAACCTCTGCCAGTAACCTCTCTCTCTCTCTCTCTCTGAAAGAAGAAGAAGAAGAAGAAGAGGAAAAAGAAGAACAGGAAGGAGGTAGGAGGGAGGAGAGATGGAGACGAAGAAGAAGAAGAAGAAGATGTCGCCCTTCTCTCGGCCTCACCTGCAGGTATCCGCTGCCATGTACTGACCGTTGTCGCCGTCGTCGCCGTCATGTGCAGGTCGCCAGTGTGGAGCCCCAGCTATGGCGCCAGGTAAGTATCGCCGGCGCAGGTATGGCCTCCGCCCCTCTGCCTACCTACTCCTCTACCTCTACTCCAGCGAACCGCTGTGGCGCTGGTCCAGCAGCATGTCGCCGAAGAAGTGAGCTACTCAAACTGTGTTCTGCTCAGTCGTGGCCCAGCTATAAGTAGCGCTGGGCCAGCTGGCTGTGCCTCTGTGTGCCTCTGGTCCTAGCCAAAACATGGCCTGCATATGTCCTTACCGAGCGTCCAGACCCTCCCTGCTGATGCGGCAGGTAGTGACCATATTCAGACGAAACGGACCTGGCCCGAAAGGGCCTGCCTTCGAACAAATGAGGTCGAAGATGCGGCCTTGGTCCGAACAGAAGGTCTGTTCGGACGAACTGTAAGTCCGAAACGGCGTCTGAACAGGCAAAAATAGGACAGCAAATGAATAAATAAATAAATGAATTCTGTCTCAAATTGAAACCTGCAGCCTAAGGGCCGCCGTGGGCCTCCAGGGCGCGCGTCTGAAGACATGCGGACTGGGGGGCCCTCAGCAACCGTCGGGCCCCTGAAATGGGGTTCGAGTGCAGGCTTAGCATGTAACACCCCCCCCCTCCTTATGAAGTCAAGCTGAGTCGAGGGCGAAGCTGACAATCTGATGGTGGAATATGGACGCGAGTGCGGCATGGAGCCGAAGGTACCGGCTTGCCTTGTAACTTGCGTTCGTAACGTGTGAGAATGTCAGGGGCTGTTGCCTGAAGTTCCGCATGGGTCAACCAACGGTCAGGCTTATGGCTGCAATAGGAAAAATGTACCGAGTACTATGTCGGCCTGTTGTCGTAGCGTCGCTGGGAGATAATGTCGCCAACCTCTAGAAAATCATCTATGGAGGGTGGGTCTTGCGATCGTCGCCTGGGAAAGTCGTCGTGTTCTGCTGAAACGAACAGAGCTAACTTAGAACAATCAAAGACCAGGTAGACGAGCAAGTGGGCCGGCACCTGAATGATAAATGAAGGTCCTTCGGGTGCATCCCCAGCGGGTGCCACAATGGGCCAGGGCCCCATCCATTTTGGAAGGAGCTTGCGAGAGATATCTTGTTCGAGGCTGAATTCCGCGGCGGAGACCCAAACGAGGTCCCCGGCACAGAATGGACAAGGAAGACATTGGCGGTTGGCCTGGTCGCTTATACATTGCTGCGTCTTCGACATCTGGTCGCGTGCCTTGACAAGAAGCTCTTGCATCCAATGAATGAAGAGAAGGTGGTTGTCGCTCTCGGCCGCCCGTGGGATAATTGTGTCCAACGGAGAAGTGACCAGCGAGCCGTGCTCAAATTCAAGGGCCAGATAAATGGGCGAGTTGTATGCCAACTCGACATCCGACAGCCGCTCAACCCAATCCTCTTGGTTGGGATGGATGAGAGTGCAAAGAAGAACCTGTGCGGTTTGATGCGCCCTCTCCGTTTGGCCATCGGTTTGTGGGTGGCGAGCCAAACTCGGCTTGAGAGATGAGCCCCATCGTTTGAGGAGGGCCAACCAAAAGTCGGACATGAACCCAGTATCGCGGTCGCAAACGATCTCCTTGGGGTGGTACGAATCCAACCGGCGAAAAGAACCTCAGCCAACTCCGGTGCCTTGGCGTGATGGCGGCAAGGCAAAAACATGGCAAACTTGGTAAGTCGATCGACCACCGTGAGAATCTCATCCACACCGGTCATGTGCTTGGGGAACGGCCCGATGATGTCCATGGCAATCGCTTCCCTTCGTTGCAAGGGGACCGGAGAGAGGGGTTTGCCTGAGGTGTGAGGGTCAGCACTTCCTGAAGGACTGCCCTTACATGCCAGGCCCAGGCAGACAGTCAAAAACTGAAACAGACCCTGGGGACTGCAGTTCCCTCCAGTGCTGCATCTTCATCTACTCAGGTAGGTGAATCTGCAGCTGTTTCAGTTGAGACTAATGATGATGATGTGTTCTTGGGGACTGCGCGGGCAGCATCCTTTTGCTATGGGGATCCTGACCCGGATCAGGACCCGGGGCAGGATGAGCTTCAGTCTATTGCAGCCTTCTTCTTTCATCTGAAAGAATAGAAGAAGAGCAAGTCTGAACTCATCATGCTCCGGCCACCAGGATCACTGGGTTGTTGGACTGTGGGGCCACCAGGAACTTCATGTCTCCCAGTGCAGTTAAAAAGCTGCACTTGGGCATGAAAGTTCAGCAGTTGCAGCAACCGTTGCTGGTGCGAATTGGTGACTCTACAGTAATCAGCATCAGGGAGAAGGTCAATGGCATCCCTGTGACCTTCGATACTACAGGAAAAGTCAGACACAGTCCGAACTTTTACATCTTCCCTGAGCTTCCCTTTGACTTGGTGTTCTCCATGCAGTGGTTGAGGGCAGTCAACCCTAGGACCGACTGGCAGATCCCTAGAGTTGAACTACCAGACAGCCAGGGGGTGTATCAGCAATGCATGATTGCTGCTGATCACCACCCTAAGACCTCCTGCTACTGCCTGAGAGCAAGGGAGTTCCATGCTCTSTCTCGCCAGTACCACCATGAGCGTCTGTTTATTGCTTTGGTCAAGCAAACAGAGGTTCCCCCTGTTTCCTGTCCTCCTGAGATACAGCAGGTGGTAGATCAGGATGTTGATCTGATGCAGGAGCCCTTTGGACTTCCCAACCGGCCAACCAAGCATCACATCGAGCTGCTGCCTGGAGCGGTCCCTCCCAAGGGCCGCATCTACAGGATGTCCTCTGCTGAGCTTGAGGAGCTCAGAAAGCAGCTTGAGACCCTGACCAGCAAAGGCTGGATCAGACCCAGCACATCAGAATTCGGTGCACCTGTTCTCTTTGTACCCAAAGGGAATGGCGCGTTCAGGATGTGCATTGACTACAGGGGTCTCAACAAGGTCACTAGGAAGAGTACTGAGCCACTTCCTAGGATCGATGACCTCCTGGATATGGTGCAGGGCTGCACAGTGTTCAGCAAAGTCGACCTCAAGTCTGGCTACCACCAGATTGAGATGGCAGAGGAGGATGTCTACAAGACAGCCTTCAAGACCAGGTATGGGACTTATGAGTTCCTGGTCATGCCATTTGGACTTTGCAATGCCCCAAGCACTTCTCAGATAGAGATGCACCGCATCTTCAGGCCTTACCTGGACAAGTTTATGGTTGTCTACCTGGATGATATCCTGGTATTCAACAAAACTGCCAGGGAACATGCGGAGCACTTGGCTCTAGTTCTTCAATCGTTACGTGACAGCCAGTACAAGATCAACAGAGAGAAATCCTCGTTTGGAGTTCCCTCTGTCATCTACCTGGGTCGTGTAATCTCTCAAGATGGCTTGGCTCCTGAAGCAGCCAAGATTGTTGCTATTCAGGAGTGGCCTCAGCCTCAGACAGTGAGGGATGTCCGGTCTTTCATGGGTTGGGCCTCTTACTACACAAAGTTTGTCAGGAACTTTTCTGCAGTGGCTGCACCCCTGACTAACCTAACAAAAAAGGTCACTCCCTTTCTTTGGTCCCTCCACTGTCAGTTGGCCTTCACACGACTCAAGAAGGCCTTGACTCGTGCGCCTGTACTGAAGATACCTGACCCCACTCTGCCATTCATCCTGACCACTGACGCTAGTCAATATGGCATTGGGGCAGTTCTTCAGCAGGATGATGGGAATGGTTTACGGCCTGTAGAGTTTATGAGTAAGAAGATCAAGACCCAAAAGCTCCAGGACTCCACCTACGAGAAAGAGCTTTATGCTCTTGTCTGTGCCCTGAAACATTGGAAGCACTTCCTCCTGGGCAGGCACTTCAAGACCTTTTCAGATCACTCCACTCTACAGTGGATGAAGTCCCAGGGAGAGTTGAACGATAAGCTGGCACGGTACATTCAGTTCATCGACATGTTCGACTTTGAACTGAAACATAAGAAGGGTTGCTACAACAAGGTAGCAGATGCCCTCTCTCGTAGACCTGACTCTTTTGCTCTGATCTCCTCTACTCACTCCTTTGGAGAGGAGACCTGTCAGACCATTGCTCGTCTACTGCCTCAGGACGAGACTTTTGGACCCATTGTCAGGAATCTGCAAGCAGATCCTAACTCTGAACCCGGCTATGCCCTGAGTTCAGACCTGCTGTATACCTGCAGCAGAGGTGAGGAGCGCTTGTGCATTCCTCACGACCAGCGGCTCAGGACACTGCTGATGTCAGAGTGTCATGATGCCCGTGGACATTTTGGGTTCCTAAAGTCTTATGCAGCCCTGTCGCAGCGCTTCTTCTGGAAGGAGATGCGGAGTGAGATGTTGCGTTATGTGGATACCTGTGAGCTCTGCCAAAGGAACAAGGTGCAGCGTAAACCTCCTTTGGGATTGCTCAAACCATTACCCATACCTAATGGCCCTGCTGAATCTGTGTCGATAGACTTCACAGATTTAGGCAAGACCACCCCCCGTGGCATGCATTAGGTTATGGTCTGCGTGGACAGGTTCTCCAAATACACAGAGTTCATCCCCTTGCCAGAGGTAGCTAGGGTACCGGCTGTGAGAGCAGCCTTCTCTGAGAGGTGGGTCACACACCATGGACCGCCCACTTCCATTGTCAGTGATCGAGACCCCAGGTTTTGCAGTGATGAGTGGCAGTCCTACTACAAGGACTATCTGCACTCACGACTGGACATGACTTTTGGTCACCATCCTGAAGCCAATGGTTTGGCTGAAGTGATGAACCAAGTCTTATTCCAGTTGTTGCGTCCTGTCATCTCTCCAGATCAGCAGGATTGGGATCTTCACTTAGCGAGGGTACAACTCATGTATAACATGTCTGTCCACTCCTCGACAGGGTTCAGTCCCTACCGATTAAACTGGGGACGTGAACCACGACAGCCTCTCGATGATATCATCAATAAGGCTAAGCCTGATATGACACCAGGCACAACATAGTTCACCAGACGCTATCGTCTAGATGTGGAAAGAGCCCGCGCGAACTTGTTCAAAGCCCAAAAGGCTATGATTGAACAAGCYAATCGCCACAGGCGGCCTTCCCCCATCCGCACTAGTGACCATGTATGGGTGGCCAGCTCTGAGCTGTCGAGGGAGGAGGATATCGCTCCCAAGCTGTTGCCACGTTACCTGGGTCCATGGCAGGTCCTAGATACAGTGGGCGCCGATCCCTTTGGTCCGTCGTATGTCATCGACGTCCCGCTGCATCTACGCACCTACCCGGTCTTCCATGCATCCAAGCTGCTGCATTTTACGCCAGCTGATGCATTCCCAGACCGGCCCCCTCAATTCGGTCCACCGATCCCTGGCAAGCGATATGACGTGGAATGGATTGAGAACGAGTGGGGCACAGGCCCCGACCGGCAGTATCTTGTCAGGTTTGCTTTTCAGCCCCCTTCTGAGAACCGATGGTTCTACAGAAGAGACCTGCTCAAGACAACAAAGTCAGTTGTATTGCGATATGAAGCGGCTCAGAAGGGCAACCTTCCTCACCGTTCACCTCGCCTACACCCCTAGCTCGGAGGTCCTCACTCCCGGGGAGGGTAAGCCTGCAATGACTTGCTGATTTCTACTGCCTGCGAGGCTGTACACTAACCGGTAGGGTTAGATTCGTAATTTTGTTTGGCTGAGGGCTAACCGAGAGACCTGCCTGTAAGGAAATTCACGAGGGACAGATTTGCAAATCTGGGAAAATACAGGCCCAATACTAACCCGAATTCCTATAGCTACCCTAACTGCCGATAGCAGGCCCGGGCTACCCCTAAGACAGACAGGCCCTAAGCAACCTATGCTGCTAGACGGCCCTATAGCCTATAGTCGGGTCCGGTAGAGGCTGAGGGGCCGAAACAGCAACGGTACCGGTCGGTCRGTCAGTCCGGTCTAGGTCTAGAGAGTCTATAAATAGGTTAGGCCCATCGGTTCAAGACTTTTGGCAGTTCATTTTCTCGCGAGCAGCGTTGGAGAAGCCAAGCAAGTGGGTGGCGGTAGCTGTCTACAGGCGGCATCCTGAGACGCGCCGTGACAGCAGCCATGGTCGGCCCTCTCTGAGTCTACCATAGCTGGGGCATCCTCAGCGCATCTACCCCTGGGGGTATCTGCGTATGGCCGGGCTGTATCGAGGCTCTACAGTGGTGGTTCGTGGGTGGTGGCAGCCATAGCTGCTTGTTCCTTCGTCAGAACCATCGGCACTGAAGACTTCATCGCAAGACCTGTTCTTCATCAGGGTGGTTGGTGCTGGCCTCTGGGAGGCTGTTCTGATGCAGCGCTACTAACTGGGTGTAGGATAGAGAGTGTGGTGTGAGTTCTGAGTGTGGCGAGATACTGGAACAAACTCTGTTACGATAAGAGGGTTGAGTTGGCTCAGCATCAGTCGATTTCAATTGTTATCCTCGCAGGTTCTTTCATGTGATTGGTTGTTGGGAGTTGTGTCAGAGACTGAGGAACACTGTGTCTTCTCTCCAACTGTGCATGATTGTCTTCCGCTGCTTATCTTCACCTGTATGCAGTTTGGACTCTGTCTCCTCTCTCCCCTTCTCTTATGCATGTATGGGCATGTGTGAGACTGTCTATGTGTGAGTGGCGAGAAAATTCGTCAGACAACCAAGTTCATAACAAGTGTCTCCAATACACGTTGAAGATGCTCGAGATGGTCCTCCAAGGTCCGGCTATAGATGAGAATGTCCTCCAAGTAGACCAGCACAAACTGGTCCAACATCGCGCCGAACTCGTTGGTCATCACCGCTTGAAAGGT